GACCAAGGCTACAGATCCGATGATCCATCAGATTACACACAGTCTGCCGTAACACATTCCTTAAATTCGAATTTCGTTGCTGATGGGATTCGAACTCTTGTCCTGCCGCTTGGGGGTGCGACAACTTCACCACTTCACTAAGTCGCCACACCCTGCTGTAACAATATTCTAAACATGTTCAATTATAATGATTATTGTATTTTTTTAATTTTTGTAATATTTCATCTCTATTTTAATATTTTGCTTTAAATTGTTTTTTTTACAGAGTATGCATAAGTTACTGCATGATGTTATAAATTAAATTCTGAGAAAATATCTCTTCCAAATACATTCAAAACTCGATAAACTAACTTTATTTATTTCATCATGTTCTATATTATTATAAATTTAGTATAAAGATCTCATGCTTTTATATGCAGGCAAATAGATGATCTCACAAGTATTATTCTGAAAATTATACTAAAAAATTTAATTATCTTAGTAATATAGTACAACTAAAATATAAGTGAATTTTGATATATATAAAAAAGTAGTCAGGTTTATAATAAAAATTTACAAAATTTTCTTGTATTGAGAGTTATTAATAACTCTCTTATATCAAGTAGGTTTATTATTAGCCTATAATCTAAATAACCTATATGACTTTTATAACCTGTTATAGGTTATTTGGTCATATTAAAGATTGATGTAATTTATGATCTTTTTAATATAGTAAGAATCATAATAAAAGTATTTTTATTAGCATTTAATATGACCGATATGACTATAACAAAAGTTATATGATTATATAACTAGTTATATATATAGAAAAAATGCTATAATATAGATCATTAGTCAACACCATTATAGTTTGATCTCTTTTATATTGAGAATTATATCAAAAGTTTTTATAACAAGTTATTTATATATTTTATATAAATTACTCAAATATTATATATTATAACTTGCAGCCTAATTGCTACAGAATGCCAGTTTGTTTCAATATGTTTAAATATATAATTATATCAAATGACTATCTTATATATGTACTAATACTAATGCAGAATGATATTACGATAATTGTTGCTTACCAGGTGATTAGAGTTCATATTAATTAGTGAAATTTGAAATAAATTTAAATACATTTAAGGTAGTTAAAAAGAAAATTGTATGATTACTAACATATTTAGTTAAGCTATGAATTTTTGGTTAAGACCAAAATTTTAATAGTGAATACATAAAGCCTCTTATTGCCTTTTTAAATATCATAAATTGTATACCAAGCTTTTTGACAAATAATGACACCTTCAAATTTATAGTTTATTGTCAAATACACTTTTTGTATTTTATTTTTGAATTCTGTTGCATTAATTATTTCACGAAAACATAAGCTTAATTCACTTTGTATTAATGCTTTCATTTCTTAAAATCTTTTAAGTGCTACCTAGAAATCAACATTTAAAAAACATCTTTTAACACAACAAATTAATTGTTGCAACTTCTCCAAAAACATATCATCATCCTGTTTATCTAACTTCTTATTATAAGTTTTTTCATTTTCAGCTAATACACATATCAGATAGAGTATATATATTTTATAGAAATATTCAATTAGTTTAGCTGGAAAATAATTATAAATATATAAACTAATGCTTCTGAAGTTCTATTATAGATTTCAGTATTAATAAATTTATTATCAAACTCTTTATCTAAGTTATTATTGATTAAATAAATATTTTGAAGTTTAGAAATTTTACTGTTTAAATATTCTAATTCACTGTGGGTTTCAGTAAAGATGTTTTCAAATATGTTTTTATTATTTTTATTAGCTACTATCAAAAAAAAAGTTTAGATAAATCACTTGTTATAAAGATAATATAATAAAAAGTAATATTTGAAAGTTTTATATAATGGTTTTTATTTACTACTTTATTCTATATACACTTATAATAACTTTTCAAATATTAACTTACACATAAATATATAGTATATATAATATAAACTGGCTTGAAACCAAATAAAACCTCTCAAAATTTAGTGTTTTTTTTGTAGATTTTTACTTTTTTAAACCTCTCTAAATATATATTTATCTTACTTTACTGACAGCTCATTTAGCTGACATTACGACAAGTAACAAATCACTAAAAATAAAATATTTATCTGCAACTACAGCTAAATAAACTTTTAGTGAAATGATTGTTGGTGATATAAGCAGGGTTTTAGCTTATACAATGATTCAGTCTTAATGCATTTAGAGAAGTCTAATAGTACTTGTTATACTTTATAAATATAAAAAATTGCTAGAGCAATTTAGGCTTCGCCTTTTTTATAGATCTTTATTCACAATATATATATTTTCGTGATAAAATCTATGCAAAAAAGAAAGTATATATCAAAACAAGAAATGTTTTTAGAACCAATAATAACTTTATACTTATCTAAAAATAGTTTAAGTTCTAAAATTCTTTACTTCTCAATCTATTACATATTATTCCTTTAATATATACTGCTTTACATATATGTGTTTATCATATTTCTAATATATTTACTAACAAATTTAACAATCACAAATACTATTATTATTTTTTTTAAGGTTTGAGATTGTTTAGATATTACTAATAAGTATGATTTTTATTTTATCTGTGTTTAAAAAGAAAAGGTAAAAACAATAAAAAAAGATATAAAAACTACAAAAACAAGGATATAATAAAACACAAAAGCTACAACCAACTTATGTTTAGCTTCAAGATCTCATTCAGACTTGTGTTAATGAAGATCTTAAATATATAGATCTATAATACAGTATAGAGATGACAAATGATCAGGGCTTTTGCTTAAACCCAAGACCAATAAACCAATAGATCAAGTTTATTGGTCTTTAGATTATAACCAAATAACCTTTTATATGATATATATTTACCAATAAAATTTTTTTATTTTTTTAAAAAAATCTATTAATTAATGACTATTTATATAATATATGGGGCCGTTGCAGTAGAAAGGGCCGAAACTCAGAAATATATAATTTTGAGAAAATCATGTTTGTTTTGTTCGGACTGATCCGGGTCAATCAAAAATTCAGAGATTTGATTGGTTAGCTATATTGGATAATCTCGTGATGTACGAATCTGCTAAAAAGTTTTTTATATTTATTTCAATTTTTTATTAAGCAAATCAGTTTCCCTTCATAATCAAAAAATGTAGCTCGTCTCGAAATTTATTCGAATCTTACAAAAACTTAATTTTGATTTCCAGGGGAGTTTGGGCCCTTTCTACTACAATGGCCCCATATATTGACTAATAAGAATTCTTTAAAGTAAATGATCATTTGGTAGTCTATTAATAATCTATTTGTTATTTATCAATAGACTAAAAAATAAAGATCAAAAAACCTTATAGTCTATTAGTCTGTGGTTTTTAATGTGCTATTTCTGATATAGTATAATACTGTGAGACCTACTATATAAACACAAAATAATACCTACTTGTACTGTATTTTAAAATAAGATGTTAAGTAAAAGTGTATTTATAGAATACTAGAAAATAATTACTATGTAGACCAATTAAATTGTGTGCACTTATCATTATAGAAAAAGTAACATATTGTTATAAAATGAGTTGTAGCATTAGTTTTATTATTAAGTTTATTATTAGTTATTATTAGTTATATTATTAGAATATAACTAATTTTAACCACTGGTTAAAATTATAAATTTTAACCAGAGGTTAATATTATAAAATTTAACTAGTGGTTAAAATTATAAAATTTAACCAGGGGGTTAAATTGATATATTTTAACTCGCTAGTATAATTTATTTTTTAAAAGGACGTATACGAATGCATTGCAGACTTGTCCCAATCTACGATATAATCAGTGACATAATATTTTGTTTGGTAGCTTATATATTACTTTCACCTTTACTTTGTAGATCGCATTATATTCAATTAACTTTTTACTGTTATTTAATCGTGTCCAAATAACCTTGAGAAATAAAATTCGCCCTATACAAATCATCGTGGTTTCACTTTTGGATTTGATCGTCACTTATTGTTTTCCCTTTCACTTTTCTAATCACTTTCTCCATCGATTACTTTGTGATCAAATAATGTTAAAAAAAAAGATCTATTCCATATTAATCACTTGTTCTTCTAACTTATCTAAATTTAATCGCAACTTCTTAAATCATCTATTTTCCAACACGTTAATGAAGCCTGACACTGAGTTGTACCCGTCCTTTAATTATTATCCCTTGCCTTCTCTATTTGAGGATGATTTGTATATTGATGTCCAAAAATATAATTTTAAGCCCAATATCATGACAGGTGCTCACAACGATGAAAATGGAATCAACGTTGTCACTAATGTTCAAAATAAAAATGAAATTTATGATGTAGCTAATATTTATAGTGAAGAATCTGAAAATGATGATATAGAAGATGAAAGTACTGGGTTAGATATGTTAAAATTAACTGTAAATATGAAATTTGAATCATGGGAAATTGCTGAATCATACCTTGAAGACTATGCCAAACAAGAAGGATTTTGCTTTCATAAACGACATTGTTTTACTGATCCAACTGATAGTACAGTAGCACATCGTAGAACTTTCGAATACATGCAAGCACGTATTCATCAAGCCGAGAAAGCCATTTTAGTTGAAGATAGAAGAGATAGAGACTCTGAGATAATCGGTTGTTTTTGGCGTATTAATTTATCATTTCCTAAAATGGCACTTGGTGTTCAGATAAATAGTATAGTAGGTGAACATAATCACTCTATAAATCTACTTATTATAGAAACAGCACCAAGATTTCGTCATTTAACTGACAAAATGCTTGAAAAAATTGAGTTTTGGACTATTAAAGGAAGGTTAAATATGGCAGCACAATATAATTTATTAGTTAAATCATTTTCTGATAAGAAGATAAACAAAAAGGATTTAAGTAATGCAATACAACGCTATAAAAAAAAGCTGAACCCCCCAAAAAATGATGCTTGTTAAATGTTAACTGATTTGTATTTAAAGAAGGACACCAACCCATCATGAATAGTGAAGCCAAAGTTTGATTCTTATGATAGAAGGTTAACTGCATTATTTTGGATGTCATCAGCACAAATATGTGCTTATGAAAGGTTTCACAATGTTGTAGTTATTGATACAACATCCAAAACAAACCAATTCGATATGATTCTGCTCTTAGTTACGGTTGTTGATAATGATTTTCAAAATTTAATAGTGGTAGCGGCATTGTTGGAAGATGAGACAGAAGTAACGTTCGCTTGGATTTTGAATAAATTGAAGTTAGCCAGTGCAGTTACTCTAACGGTAATATATTCAGACGCAGATTCTGCTCTTATAGCAGCAGTGCGAAATAATTATCAAGAGACCCATATTTTTCACTACATGTTTCATTTATAAAAAATTTAAAAGGAAAGTTACATGATCAATTTGAATCATTTAGATCAAAATTTTTAGCAATGCGAAATTCTCTATATCAGAAACAATTTGAAATTAGATGGCTAAAATTATTGAGGAGTATCCTGCTTGCGAGCAATATCTTACACGTACCTTATATTCCTGCAAAGAGAGTTGAGCTAGTTTTGCAGTTAACAGATATTTCACTGCGGGAATCCAAAGCACACAAAGAGCAGAAAGTTCGAACAAATTAGTGAAAGAAAAGCTTGATCAATGCTCAAGATTATCCAATGTTGTCGAAGAAATTCAAGTGATATTTAATAAACAATCAAAAAGAGCATTAATTAGTGAATTTAAAAATGAAATACCAACTAAAGGATTACCAAATATAATAGAAGAATACTTTCCTGAAATGCATAAGCTGTTGAAGGAATATCTGATACCACAAAAAATCCAAAAGCAATGTGACCAAATGTCACAATCACTTTGTTACGATGTTTTTCTGGTTGATAATTGGTCTACATTATTGGAGGTAAGAAGCAAATTTAATAAGTATATATGGGTTTAATATGTAGTACATATGCTAGTAAAATTTAAAAAAAGAAATTTTAACAATAATTGCTGATCATTTCTACTATTGAAATTTCTTTTTGATTTCTACTACTAACTATAGTAATTAAGAATTAAAATTCATTTTTTTAAGAAACGGATGATTCGTACAAATCAGAAATAAGTAGAGAAGATAATTATGAGCAACCACAAGCATTATTTGCTTTATTGATTGGTCAAATGTCACCTGAAAATATTCGTGAAGTATGGAAAGTAACTAGATATCGATTTCTACAGACAATGCCCCAATATATCATTTTGTTTGATGACAGATCTCATCTATGCACTTGCCTTTGGCTCATTAATCGAGGCATTGTCTGCAGACATTTTTTTAGAGTTATGTCTTACTCCAAGAATGCATGTTTTCATATTACTCTTATTCCATAGCGGTAGTACAATGATAAGAAAGCTAGAATTAACAAACAAATTCATGACTCAGTTACAGTATATCAAATTGATGGAAATACATTAACTCAGCTTCCTTCTCAACCCTTATTATTTAATCATCTTTCAAATATCAGAAAAACGGCATATATTGAGCAAAAGCGAAACCCTAAACAGAAGTATGGTTTTGGGATGGGTCATGCCAAAAAAGCTCTTGATTATGCAATTCGGGCAAATAAAGTTGATAAATTCGTCGAATATTTGAAAAAGTTTATTGAAGAGACGAAGGGAGAATTAGATATTGAAAATATTGCAAATCTAATTGTTGGTGATCCTATCCGAGTACAACATAAAGGGTGTCAACCTAATCGGTATAAATCAGAAGGTGAAATACCATATAAGAGAAAGATATGTGATACTACTAATGCAAGCAATCATGATTTAAATGAAAATGAATTGGCTCAAAGTTCTTGAAGCAATAATTTAAAATGAGTAAGATATTGCCAAAAATATAAGCAAGCTAGTCACTATGTTCCGCGTTGTCCAAATTAATAAGTAGTTGCTGTATTAGGTTCATAGATATGTGTAATGCTAGACTATCAAATAAATGTTAACAATATCAATTTAATAGTCATTTTTATGCATTTGTATATATCTGGTTTAAATTAGTATATTAAGGTTAGGGTTGTACAGTATATATATGTAGTCAACTTGCTTATATAGTATCGGTATATAAAGAGGTGTTTTATAAAGATTTCTAAGCAGATCGATATTTATTATGTTGAAACCAGTTTTATTAAAATAAATTAGTTCTAAACCGTTAAATAATATATTAAACATTGTATAATTTTATTGGCCGATTATGAGTTACGTGACCAAGTGATATCACCAGGGGGGCAAGTTAGCAACACTCTATTTATATTATTTTTAAAATTTTAAGATTTTTAAGATTTTATATATTATTGAAAATTAAAAATATTTTTGCTCTTAATACAAATTTATATTTTTATAATAATAATTAGAGTACATTTATTCACCGCACCCAGCGATGTCACTAATTTACCGCCTCTCACATGATCGACCAATCAAATTATAAGATCAGATGTAATGTAGCACAATTAGAAAAATTCAAAACAAACATTCGTTTTATCAAAAATTGTTTATAACACAAAACTTCATATATGAAACTACTCTTCCTGTTCTAACAAAAAAAATTTCTCTTAAAATTTTATTATAAAACATTACTTCAAGCCCATAAACTACTCTAACCTCACCCTAACCTTAACTAACGAAACAACTGATTGTTTTGATTTTACATTACACCTGATTTTATGATCTGCAGGAATGCTGCAACAGTGCATGTGCGATATATAAATTGTCTCTAATAATTATTATTTTTTATAAAATTATAATTTTGTACTAAGAACTATAGCTTTAAAATTAATATTTAAAGAGTTTAGCTAGAATAAATAAATAATTTTTATGATTTAAAATTTTTTTAAATTTGTATATTTTTATTTTATAAGCAACTTAAAATATTTTTTGTAAAATAAAATTAAATAATATGATAAAATAATTCATATTTTTAAATAGAAAATAACTACCGTAGTGCACTGACCAAAGTATCCCCCTTTTTGCGTACCCCCCATTTAAAATACCCGGGTATTTTGCATGGCATATTTTTTTTTCACTAAGCAAGATACCCGGGTATTTTATAACTCTTGAGGGTGGTGGTTTTATATAAGACCCGGGTATTTTGTATTGCGGCATTTATCTAATTGCATCCGTTATGAAATCTGTATTGCGGCATTTGTCTAATTGCAACCGTCGTGTAATTTGTTTATCTACGGCCACATTTATTTGCATACGTACTGTATACGTATAT